CCAAAAATTGTCTACCAATCTCACCAGGGTCCTTAAAGTAAGACAAAGTATGACTGGTTGTTTCCTTGTCAGTGAGGAAATTAGGCTGAACATTAAAAGAGTATTCAAAGTGTTGAACCTAATTAGAGGATAGGTTTCAGAACCTTGGACAGCTTCTTTGGCATTGAGACTAAACCTACATTAGATTCACTGCTCCCCTGACATGGAAGCCACAAGCTGCCACCGGTTGCTCTGAATAGCCCTTTTGACATCTTTCCCACAATGACTGTGACAGCAGGAAAATGCTTGCTGGGATATCTTTGAGTGGCCAGCAGACCCAGCACCTTGCTCAACATGGTCTTTCCAGAGAAAGAAATGTGGGTGAAGTGGCCATGGTGACAATGCATGACCCACAGAGTGCCTCTATGGGCACCTTCACTGCAATGCCTCACTCTGAGGACTTCTGAGCATTATAGTCCAGTGCTGCTGGTAATGCAGCAATGGGAAGTGAGAAGTGGGCGAAAGAGGCAACAGGCCCTCCCACTTAAACTAGAACTTTCATTGGTCTTAATAGGAGATCAGAATGACACACACATACACACACACACACACACACCATAGGACTGTTGTGAGAATTTAAAGAGAGCTACTTGCATTGGGGACAAATGCTGCTCAGATCCTTTCAAGCATAAAAACAGGTGCAGTATATAAAACACTGCTATTATTGTTGTTGCCACCACCATTGTAATTGGGACCTAACTTGTTCTGTTTAAGCTAATAGTCAGCCCTTCATATCCATGGATTTTATATCCATAGATCCAAATAACTATCTTTGAAAATATTCACACAGAGAAAATTCCCAAAAGCAAACCTGGATTTTGCCACTTTACATAAGGGACACCCTTTAACTACCCCATTGTAGACAAAGGGATTGGAACCAAACCCCAATGGATACCAAGGACCCACTGTATAGTTTGCTACTACCAGGACATGCTTGTTTTAATTGTGGTCAAATCTCTTCTCCATTTTTGGGTCCTTAGGACAGGGCTGTAAAAGTTATGTTTACTACAGGGCACCCACCCAACCCCGAAAAAAAAACACCAAACAAATATGTTTGGAATATTCAAAAGTCTAAGCCACTTTAAGTGTGAATGGAAATGTAATCACTCAAAAATATTTTTTTTTCTTCATGTGCCACTAGATGGAGGCAAGAGAGACAAAAAGAAAAAAGTCGCCAAATTTCAGCTCCTCACCTGGCACTAAAGTTGGGAAGAGAAAACATTGCTTTCTTCTACTATTGATCACAGCACAGTCCATCACCTGATTATTCAATATCAATTTCCAATGGTGGGAAATTTTAACATGTGGAAGTTTGATGCAACTAATGCCATTGTCTGATGGTTGCTGGTTGAGATTCAACAGCTGAATACACTGTCTGAGTTTAAAAAAGCATTAAAGACCAGTCTTTTCCAGAAGGCTTATCCTGATGATTTTTAAACTGTGAATTTTAAATTATGAATTTTAGATATGAATTGTTTTAATATGTGTACATCTTATTTGTCCTTTTAATTGATGTGTGTTTTAACTAAAGTTGATAACTGTTGTTGTCCCCCACCTCAATCCATAGGGAGAGATGGGCAAGAATTATTGCTATTACTACTACTACTACTTTATATAATAGCTAAAAAAAATCAAATACAGGAAGACCAAAGACTGTACCAGACATGAAAGAAACTAGACACTATTATAATTCCACAAAACTAAAAACTTTATCAATTGGGGGTAGAACCACATGGCCCTCCAGATGTGTTTTTACCACAACTCCCATCACCCCTTCCCCATTTGAAATGCTATCTTGGCAGAAGAGAGCTGGAAACAAAAAACATCTTGAAGGCCACACATTCCCTGTCCCTGAAAGAGATGTACCGTATTTTTCGCCATATTAGACGCACATTTTCTTCCCCAA